TAGTTTTTTAGTTTTCGGTTTTGGGGGGGGGGGGGGTCAAGAAATTCCAGAGATACAGCGGCGCACGGTTCAGAACTCGGTAGTTCTGGGCCCGCCCGCCTAGCCTTCTCCACTTAAATACCAGGTTTTTGCCTGCTTTAGGGTTTGAATCAGCGACGTGTGTCTAATCCACTCATCACGTGTTGCACTCTTCCCACTAGACCAAAGCCCTGGGAATAACCTCACCATTTCTCATTGCTAAACCAAAAGTTTCGAGCACATTTCCACAATTGAAAACTGATAGGAAATTTCAAAGTTGATCACAAGGTAAACACCCTACCTCAAGGTGCTGCGCTGCTTCTGAAGTCAAACCAACAGTTACTGCAGCCAGTCCTATCAATCCTCCCTGAACATAGTTTGAACAAAAAATGTAAATAACCAATTCATATTACAAAGAAAATACAGTCAATTTATATTACAAAGAAAACTTTTTTCCTGGTGTTTGGTTGGGTATAAAGTAGGTACCATATGATAATCACATAATGCGGAAAATAGAGTATGTGAATAGTGTTTGGTGAAGTTTTGTATTATTAAAGGTTGACAAAACTGTCACTAAATAACAACGACAACAGCACACCCAATGTAATCCCACAAGTGGAATCTGGGGAGGGTAGTGTGTACGCAGCCTTACTCCTACCTTGTGAAGGTAAAGAGCATGTTTAAAACTGTCACTAGATCAAGTGATATAAGTAAGAATTGTGATATGAGCAAAGAAAAATTACTTCCACCTAGAGGTGTAGATAGTAGGAGGGAAAGGGGTTCAATTGGATCCCCTTCGTCAAAAATTATAATGTGAAAATAGGATAAAAATGATGTGTTTTGGTTATACATTGTTGGATCCCCACATAGGGAAAGATTCTAGTGTAGTGGTAAAGGGGTTCAAATAGTTGTTCAAAAGTCACAAGTTCAAAATCTCGATTATGACATTCTAATATTTTTTGAATCCCCTTATATAAATTTCTGGTTCCGCCATTGCTTCCACTCATACAGCGGACACGAAGTCATCTCCTCCCTCTAGGTGGAAATTATTTTTCTTGGAGAAAACATTTTCCACAAAAAACAAAAGTAACCACACTTAAAAATAAATTTCATCAAGGATAACAATTTCCGTCACAAAACACACTACATTCATTACAATAGAATACAGCACAAAACGATACAAAACAAGCTGTAAGAGTAGAATTCAAACGCACTTTCCGGTTATGAGCCTGAGGTGAGTAAGTATACTCCTGAGTCAACAAATTGATCACACCAGCGATCTTGTCATGATCACCTGCACCTGTCAATTGCTTAATAATCCCTTCCAACTACACACAAAAACCCAATAAACATCAATATATCAGCAAAATCTTGAACTAAGGAAACAAGGATTTAAGTTATATACACTGACCTCTCTATAATAGCCTCGCTATATAACAGCTATACATTATAAAAACCAAATTTTTTGTGGAACCAATTTTCATGCTATGATAATATATGTTCTCCGTAACAGCACTTCGCTATAATAACCAAAAGATCCAGAACAAATGAGGTTGTTATAGAGAGGTTCGACTATAATGAATTTTTACACATCACTCTAATACAGGTTAGTTATCATTTATTCTATGTTACCAATCAATGCAATAGAACTTAAACTCAAAGAGAAAAAACCCCAAATCCCAAAAACAAGGGGGAAAATATCCAAACTTTCAGGGGAAAAAGGAACAAAATCCAAATTACAAAAATAAAAAGGAAAACAGAAATTCGAGAAAACCCCAGATAAAAATACCTCTAAAGCAGCATTCTTGCGCTTCTCGTACAGCTTATCCGACAGATTACGCAAAACAGCAGCTGGAATCACAGATAACGCTTCTGCGATAGTCATTTCAAGAATTCAAGCACTCAAGACACACACACATGTATATGACTGTAGTGACTGATGAGTTGTAAGTAAAATAGATCTTAAAAAAGAGGGAAAGATTGATGAAATCCAAAATTGAGACAGAGGGGAAAGATTGAAGAAAGGTTTTTGAAAATCTACGGGGAAAGATTATAGGGAAAAAAGTCTTCTTTTGAAAATTGTAATAGACTAGAATATCCTTTTTCTCATTTTCTATTTTAAATTAACTTATTCATACTCCACAGATAAATAATTTTGATAAATATAATATGGTTAGTTTTGACCAAGAAAAATGAATACCAACGCTTATTCTCCTTGTATCACTTCAAATTTGTACGACTTTGACTATTTTCTTAAAAAATAATTCATTACAATATCTTAATTTGAATTAGATGTTTGTTTCTTTTATCAAATTAACTTTTAAACTGTTTTATAAATATTTTATAAATCTTTAAGATTAAATATTGTCAGCTATTAATATATTACACTCAATGATGAATATGATATGTTTTATGTTTTTCTATTTGTAATTTTTTCTTATCCAACATAAAATGAATTATGTTGAAAGGAGATCAAATAGGTCAGTTATAGTTAAACGTATAGGATTTGGCTGTCGCTGCGAGAGTGTTATGCAATATAAAGATATCTTCTTTTGTTCATCAAACTAAAGATACATACAAAGTGAAAAGTATATTATATGAAATGGCGGTAAAACAACAATATATGGGAGTAAATGTTGGGTCTAAGTCTCAGCCTAACTACAATACTAATATAGTAATAATTGGATTTTAAAATTAATGTATAGTCATAAAAATCAAAAAATTACCACGTGAAAGAAGGTGCAAGTAGCAGCACGTGTAGATGATAAGTAGAAATGACACTAGATAGCTACGGTAAAAGGACTGCTATTTAGGAATTAGCGCGTCCTGAATTTTAGTTTTCAGTTCAATTTTTCAGGATAAAAAATGTCAAGAATTGTCTTGAAGTTAAAATTTTAAGTTTAAAATTTCAGAATAAAATAACTACTGGCTAATCTCTAAATAAAATTCCCCAAATGGCTATCGAAAAGATTAATGGCGTTAGAGAGGATGTGCTAGATCTAAAAATCGTTTGGGAAGTTATTGAAAAAATTTGCATGATAACTTAACCACTAATAGACCACAATATAAGCAAGCTCAACACCTTGGTATCAGAGTCATGTGAATGAGTAGAAATAGGTGCTAAGTTCAACACAGTTTTCTCTAATGAATATTATTAGAAAGCAAACTATTGTTAAAAACAGTAAGAAAGAGGAATATGATACACCACAACAATTAGATCTGCTTAATAAATAGACGATTCCTAGAATCCAACCTAAGGTTATATACCAATTAGGTATTTTTGACAAATTAGGTTTGAAATAAGTTGTTAAAATAACCGAAGGGACTATCACAGTAGATAGTGATCATGCAACCTTTAAATTATTATCTGAAAATGATTTAGCTTATTATAAGGAAACACATAGATTTATACATATTGGTTTGATACAAGTTGCCTTCAAGCCACTTACTTTAAGAGACTTACCTGAAAACTTTATAGTAGCTCTCAGAGATAGCAGAAACCAAAACTCGAAAAAATCCCTCATAGGAACTGTACAAACTAGTGTAGCCTATGGCTCAGTATGTTTTATGTTTATCCTAACCTGCAGATATCTTTGAGTGATGAAAACTCTTTAAATGCTTTACTATTAAGTATAAAGTTGCATGGCTACGATTATACGCCAAGAACGGAGGTTTTATGCATTTGTTATGAGACTTATTATAAGCCCTTATATACTTTAAATCCTATGTGCAAAATTATGAATTTTAAAAATGAGACTATTCTTATAGAGACTAATTTTGGTAGGTCTAAGGTCACACTACCAGAAGACCTACTAAATGGGGTGAAATAGATTTTCCCAAAGAATGGGTCATAGAGGAAGCAATAGCTCCTCAAAATGATGGAAACAGCAAGGTCACCTAAAATGAACAGACCTCAGGCGGAACTATTAAGACCAGGTTCAACGAACCGGTCAATCTGATAATATTAGTTGTGCATCTAGGTTAACTCGGCCAAATTCTTCTTATATTTCACCAATCGGTTATATTGTAGATATTACATCTAGAGCATCTACATCACAAATTAGGGATAATAACATGATCGAAACTATTAGGATTAGCAGAGATAATATTGCGAATGCTATCCCGATCTTGAGCCAACTGAGTCCGAGATGAATTTTCCAGCAGGTTTAAAATGAATCAAGACCAAATAAGTTTTAGTCCTGGATCTCAGGCAAGAAGAATGATTTCCGAAGAGTTTAATAAACCAAGATAGGAACTGTTTAGAAATTGGTTTTTTGACAGTTTTGATAATAAGTTAATAACTTTTTTTCAAAATAACTCTTATAATGATATTAGCGGTCATAATAAAATAATCGCTTTTGTCCATGGTTCATCTCTAAGTATGTTGATAGTTATATTTTCATGCTAGAAAGAAATTATAAATCGAATAGTGGTGAAATTACTAAGTCTATATTTCCTCCACAAAATCTTTTCAAATGGAAAATAATGATAAAATAGTTTATTTTACCGCCTTTTCAAAATTATTTGAAGAGGTGAACAATATGCTCAAACAAAATAATTATACTAATGTTTATATGAGTGTTCTTGGTGAACAAATTATATCTATTCATGATAGAATTGATAAATTGCTATCTGAAATACATAAATTAGCTGATAAAGATACAAAAGGTAAGAAGCAGATTGCTACCCCAAGTATCCAACCTCCTCCTGAGATCAAAGACTTTAAATTTAAAAGTCTTAGTGATCTTGAAAAATTACTTGATGAAAAAGTTAAAGGATTAAAAATTAGTCCTTTGAGTTTAGAGCATCTATCTAATGAGGATAAAAGATTAAAAATTTCTGGGGAGATAAATAAAATCTCGGAGAAATATGCCAGAAAATCGGTCCAAAAGATGTACTACTATCCTAGTCCAACTCCTCAAGATGTACTTTGAGAGTAACAAGAAGAGTTTTATTCATGGAGTTATAGTGGTAAAGAGATCTACGAATAGTTTAGAAAATAGTGATAGAGAAGATTCATCTACTAATGAAGATTTAAAGGTTTTACACGAGGAAAATTATATATCCTCTGATGATGAATGTGCATGCAAACAATAGTAGGAGTATCGGCACCAGTATCCCTCACAAAGACCAAATAAGACAGACACCCCTTCCCAACCATCCGTTGGGCCTTCAAATATGAAATCACTCTACTAGGAACATAATCTAGAGAACCTCTCCACTCGATCCTTGGCAACCCCGGCATCGCCAACGTCACGGTCTTAGCGTGACAATCCAGCATAGAATGACATGGAGGCAACCAATCCATACCCAAGATCACGTCAAAATCAATCATACTAAGCAATAAGAAATCAACTCTAGTCTCCAATCCCTTAATAGTCACTACACATGGCCGATATACATGGTCCAAAATAATAGTATCGCCCATTGGCTTGGATATATGAACAGATGAAACTAAGGACTCACGGGGCATATCCAGATGATGAAAAAAATACGATGATATATACGAATAAGTGGAACCAGGATCAAATAATATAGAAGCATCCCTGTGACATATTGAGACAATACATGTGATCACTGCATCTGAAGCAACAACATTTGGCCTGACAGAAATAGCATAGAATCGGGCCTGACCGCCACCTGATTGGCCTCCCCCTCTAGGGCGGCCTCTAACTGCCTGGGCCCCACCTTTAGCTGGCTGGGTAGGTGGTATAGTAACTGGTGCGGAAGTCGCAGCCTGACTCCTCTGCTGCACTGGACCTCCCGGACGACGAGGACACTGCCTCCATATATGTTCGAACTCCCCGCATTGAAGCAACTCCCCGATGGTGGTGGTGGTGGGGGAGGGGGGGACTGAGGGGGGCCCCCGAGTACCGGGATAACTGCTAGAAAGACCTGGCATAGATAAACCATGAGTCGATGGAGCACGGGATGAACTCTGAGCTAGAAAGGCACTGAGACATGATTGACCCGTATGAGAACTGTAAGAACCATGGCTAGATGATGCGCCACGATAAACTGGATGAGCCATCTGAGCTGGCCTATAAGGACGACCCCTGCTGTGGTAAGGCTGCCCCCAGAAGGTGCACTGCTGAAACCACCCAAACCTCGAGGCCTCTTGTCCTCTCTCACCTCACACTCCTCACTACGAACCATGTCTAGCCGACAAGCAATATAAACCACCTTATCGAATGTAGCACCTGATACACTCTCCCGTGTCATGACAAAATGGTACCGATAATAGAGGCCATCAATGAACCTCTTGATCCTCTCCCTCTCAGTGGGAACCAACCAAAATGCGTGACGAGCCAACTCTGAAAACCTCATCTCGTACTGGGTCACAGACATGCCATCCTAACGTAGATGCTCAAATTATCTGCGCAGCTCCTCCCTGCAAGTCTGTGGCACAAACTTCTCCAAGAAGAGAACGGAGAACTCGTGACATGTGATTGGTGCTACACCGACTGGCATGCACCTCTCATAGGCCTCCCATCATCTGAAAGCAGCCCCAGTGAACTGAAAAGTAGTGAACGAGACCCCACTGGTCTCCAGAATACACGCCATGCGAAGAATCTGCTGGCACTTGTCCAAGAAATCCTGGGCATCCTATAACTCAGCTCCACTAAATGATGGAGGGTGAAGCCTCCCAAACCTCTCTAGTCTCTTCTACACATTATCAGTCATAACGGGAACCATCTAGGCCTGAGCAGCTGCAATCGACTGGGCTGGTAGTACCCCCGGTGTCTGAAGTCCATGCATCACCTGCTCTGGAGTACGGGTGGCGGGAGTCTGAGTACCTCCCCCGACCTGAGAAGTGGCTGGCGCGGTTTGAACGGAAACCGCCTGAGCAAGGCTGATGCACATAGTCAAAATCTGAGCAAGGCCTCCCGAAGGCCTGGAATCACAATGGGCACAACTGGTACCTGAGTTGGCTCCACTGGCTCAATAATATCTGGTACCTGCTCCTGAGTTGGAGCAACTGGTGGATCTGCAGGTGCTGCTCTAGCTGTTGTACGAGATGCACCCCTGCCCCTACCGCACCCCCTATCGCGACCTCGGCCTCTCGTGGCCCTAGCTGGTGGTACTGGTGGTTGTCTGTCATGT